CAAGCTCTTTCAAGCGACTCAAAACGCAGCTCTCCGGACTCACTGAACTCAAGAAGAGCTTCCTGAAGCCTCTAAACCCTAAACCCTAAACCCTAAACCCTAAATTGGGGTTTTGCTTTTCAGGAGTGGTTGTTGTGCGAAATCCGGAAAAGATAATTTTCAAGTTGAACTCAGATGTCACTGGGATTGTCTGTGCGCCAGCAGCACTCAAGAGGTTTCAAGATGTCCAATACGGTAGCTGCTGCTGCTGCTGCTGCTGTTGCTGCTGCTGCTGCTGCTGTTGCTGCTGCTGCTGCTGCTGTTGCTGCTGCTGTTGCTGCTGCTTTTGCTGCTGTTCTTGTGGGTGCTGCTGTTGCCGCTGCTGCTGCCTCTTGCTGCGGACAACCCCCTCCTCCTGCACCTAGCTCAGACTCTTGCTGCTGTTGCAGCTGCTGCTGCTGCTGCTGCTGCTGCTGCTGCTGCTGCTGTTGCTGCTGCTGCAGGGGATGTGGTGGCAGTGACAGTTGTGGGGGAGAGCGCTGGGGGCCGCCACTTGTACTTAGACAGACACGATGGGCTTATTGACTACGCGCAGCAAGACAGGTGCTGCTGCTGCTGCTGCTGCTGCTGCTGCTGCTGCTGCTGCTGGGGCTCTTAGTGCTGTTGCTGCTGCTGCTGGGGCTGCTGCTGGTGCGATGGAGTTGCTGCCACTTCTGCAGCGCCAGGAGTTGCTGCTGTTTGTGCTGCTGCTGCTGCTCTAGAGAGGCCTGCTGCTGAGTGAAGTGGCCGTAGCAGCAGCAACGCTAAGCAGCAGCAAGCAGCAGCAGCAAGCAGCAGCAAGCAGCAGCAGCAGCAGCAGCAGCAGCAGCAGCAGCAGTGCGTGTATATGCGTTTCAGGCCTAGACATCTTTTCACAACTTCAATGCGACTTCGAGAGGTAAAGGAGTCACTCTGCTGCTGCCGCTGCTGTTGCTGCTGCTGTTGCTGCTGCTGTTGCTGCTGCTGTTGCTCTTGCTGCTGTCGCTGCTGCTGCTGCTGAAACTGCTTCCTATTCTGCTGCTGCTGTTGGTGCAGGACTCCCGAGCTGACCCCTTGCTGCTGGCGCATCTAGAGGGCTAGGCTAGCTGCTGCTGCTGCTGCAGCTGCTGCTGCTGCAGCAGCAGCTGCTGCTGCTGCAGCAGCTGCTGCTGCTGCAGCAGCAGTTGCTGCTGAGTGGCACCAGCGACAGTTTGCCCCTGCCTACTGACTGCAAACCCTAAACCCTAAACCCTAAACCCTAAACCCCTCAACTAAACCCTAAACTCCAAACCCCTCAACTAATGCGCTAAACTTCCGCCATTTGTTTGGCAGCAAATGCTGCTGTTTCAGATTTAAAAAAGCCAAAAGAGGCAACACCAAAGTTCGGTGCTGCTGCTGCAGCATTTGCTGCTGTTGCAGCATTTGCTGCTGCTGCTGCTGCTGCTGCTGCTGCTTCGGTTAGTGGTTGGGTTTTGGATTTGCGCTGCGCTGCCGTTTAAACAGGTCACACGGCAGCCGCAACACGAAACCCTAAACCCTAAACCCTAAACCCTCGACTGCAACCGCGGCTGCTGCTGCTGCTGCTGCTGCTGCTGCTGCTGCTGTCGCTGCTTAAAGACACGCGAGACATATTGCAGGCCCGCGCAGCAGCAGCAAACTAAATAAATAAATAATTGACTAATTAATTAAATAAAAGATGCGAAAAGAAGAAAAGACAAGAGAGACATTTAATCATAAAAAAGGAGAAGACCAGCAGCAAGTGCCAGACCCCACGACCAGCCTGCTGCTGCTGCTGCTGCTTCTGCTGCTGCTGCTGCTGCTGGCACTCCTGCTGCTGCTGGTACTGCTGCTGCAGCTGCCCGCTGCAGCTGCCACTTCTGCAGCTGCCGCCGCTGCGGCTTGCGCGGGGAGCGCCGCTGCTGCCATCCTGCTGCTGCAGCCGCCGCCCCTGCTGCTGCTGCTGCTGCTGCTGCTGCTGCTGCTGCTGCAGCTTAGCTGTCGCGCTGGGAAAAGGCGAGATAGACTTCCTTCGCGCCGCGCATTCTGTATCTGTCTACGATGTAGCCAGCAGCAGCAAAGGACAGCAAGAAGCCGAGGCAGAAGAGAACAAACATTGCTGCTCCCCCCATCTTCAGCAGCAGCAGCTGCTGCAGCAGCAGCAGCAGCAGCAGCAGCAGCAGCAGCAGCGGCGGCAGCAGCAGGCTTCTGCGGCTCCTTCGGACCTCGCGGCTCGCAGCGGCAGCTTCTGCAGATTAGACGCTCCACTCACGACTGCTGCTGAGCGTAAGATCCTGAAGAGCAGCAGCAGCAACAGCAGCAGCAGCAGCAGCAGCAGCAGCAACAGCAGCAGCAGCAGCAGCAGCACAACAGTCACCGGTGTTGAGAAGGAGAAGCGCGGGAAGCCTCTACAGACATTTGCACAAGTTGTCTCACTAGCAGCCGGGAAACCAGACCTAAACCCCAAACCCTAAACCCTAAACCCTAAACCCTAGACAGCACCTGAGGCTGGAGGGCCTGGGGTTTGAGCTGGTACCCTAAACCCCAGTTGAGAAAGGGTCTACGGTCTCGGTGTAAGAGGGAATTCGACATACTTCGATTGAGGGTTTAGCAGTGAGAGGTTAGGGTTTAGGGTTTAGGGTCTAGGGTTTAGGGTTTAGGGTTTGGGTGGCTCACCAATGAGGTACAGCGAGACAAGCGAGCCGAAGAAGGTGAGAAAGAAGGTGCCCCAGTCAATCATGGTGTATTATAATTTGAAATATGTTTAATTTCGTGTTTAATTTCCCCTGAAATTCACTTTTAATCCAATTCTGTTGCTGCTGCTGCTGCTGCTGCTGCTGCTGCTGCTGCTGCTGCTGCTGCTGCTGCTGCTGCTGCTGCTGTGATTTGGCTGTCTGTACACCCGAGAGCAGCAAGCCTCGCGCCGCGCGACCACCCGGCCGGCCGCGGGGTGCAGATTTTCGCCATTTTTTGGTCTTTTTTGCCGCCTTTTTGAATTTATTTGAATTTATTTGAATTTAAAACTAAAAAAGGAGTTTTTTGAGTGCAAACAGCGGCGAAAAGGACAAAAATTGACCGCCGACTGGTGGGTGGGGGGCAGATCACCGCAAGCCCCCTGCTTGCAGAAACCCCCAACGAGCCAGCTAAACACACAATTAAATCAACAAATGATCAAATAATAAATAAATAAATAAATAATAAATAAATAAATAAATAAATAATAAATTAATTATTATAAATGACGAATTAATCGACAAGGAGAGAGCGAGTTCATCATTTGTCGCGCGCCGCCTCGCTAGCTCCGTAGGGTTTGGGGTTTGGCTATTTGCTGTTCTTTTGCTGCAGTTTCTTCAGCAGCAGCAGCAGCAGCAGCAGCAGCAGCAACTAAACAAAACTAAATAAATAAGCAGCAGCAGCAACTCCTGATGCCAGCAGCAAACCCCAAACTGTTTTAAATAAAATGCTGCAGCAGTTCACGGAAAGTGTCCAGAGGCGGCGAAGGCACAGCGGCACTCTCGCCAAACCCTAAACCCTAAACCCTAAACCCTAAATTGTGGACCCCAAGTTCCAAACCCCAAACCCTAAACCCTAAACCCTCAGCACCGAGCCTGTTTGTGCTCTGTCGGCTTCTGAACTGAGGTGTACGAGGGTTTGCGGCCACCAGCTCCGCTCTAGGGTTTAGGGTTTAGGGTTTAGAACCAGCAGCTAGGGTTTAGGGTTTAGGGGACGAAGGTGGCCAGCATCTGCACAGCGCAAACAGATAAACCCGAAACCCCACTCCTCATTTATCACTTTTGAAAATAAATAAATAAATAAATTAATTAATTAATTAATAAATTAATTAATTAAAAGTAAATAAATAAATAAATAAATAAATATGAAACAAACTCATAAAATAATGCAAATAAAATAATAATAGTAAAAGAATCCGCGGAGCAAACAAGGGTTTAGGTCCACCTCCTAGGGTTTAGAGTTTAGCGAAGTCTACAAGTAGACGAGGGTTTAGGCCCAGCCTCTAGGGTTTAGGGTTTAGTGCAGCGACTAATCAAGGAACCCTAGGGTTTAGGGTTTAGGGTTTGGGGGGCCAGCGAAGAGACGAGGGTTTAGGCGCTAGGGTTTAGGGTTTAGGGGAGGGGAAGAGGCGCGAGGGTTTCTGGAGCTCCTCGAGGGTTTAAGTCTAGGGTTTAGGGTTTAGGGTTTAGGGTTTGGAGGAGGGACCTGGCGGAGCTGCCGGAGTTTGTTTTTGTTTTTGAAGTTTTTTATTATTTCTTGTTCTCCAACTTCTCGAGGGTTTTCATTTTCAATTTCAATTTCTGCTGCTGCAGCAAGCCGCTGCAGCAGCGCCGTCGTGCGCTGCTGCTTCTCGCCCTGCAGCAAACACCCTAAACCCTAAACCCTAAACCCTAAACCCTAAACCCTAAACCCTGAACCCTAAACCCTAAACCCTGGAAGTAGTGGAAGAAACTGAAACGGCTGGCAGGCCGTGTTTGAGGGACACAGAAATAGAGGCACGAAACTGTACAGAATGCTCGCCTGCAAGGGTTTAGGGTTTAGGGTTTAGGGTTTAGGGTTTGGGGTTTAGAGTCTAAGGAGCTGAGTCAAAGCCAGGGTTTAGGGTTTTTCATCGAATATGGGGTTTGAGGAGCTGGCTCTGCTCCCCAATTCAGGGTTTAGCGGGGGTTTAGGGTTTAGGGTTTAGGGTTTAGGGTTTAGGGTTTGACCTGGTGCTGCTCCTGCTCCACGAGAGCGGCGAGTTTGAAAAGGGTTTTCATTTCTTCTTTTTTTTTAAATGAACAAAAGTCACTAAACCCTAATGGCCAGCAGCAAGAAGAGAAGTCCACTTCTGCTGCAGCAAAAAGGGTTTGCCACCGAAGGGCTTCCCAGCTGCCCACGAAGCAAACCGCCTCCCCTGCGCCGCACAAACCCTAAACCCTAAACCCTAAACCCCAAACCCTAAACCCTAAACCCTAAACCCTAAGCCCTGGGCGCGGGAGGGGCGCAGCGAAGTCGGCGAAAGCGGCGGCTTCCCAAGGGCGCGTTTGGGGCTGCTGCGCTGCGCACTCGCCGACGAGGGTTTAGGGTTTAGGGTTTAGGGTTTAGGGTTTAGGGTTTACCGTCTTGGCCTGCTCTCGCCGTTCTGCCGCATCTGTGAATTAGGGTTTCTGCATCTCGAGGGGTTTGGAAGTTTATAACTTTTTCAACTTTCTTGAAGTCCAAACCCCTAGCAGCAACGTCGCTGCTCACCAGCAGGCCGTAGTTGCTGCTGCTAAACCTGCAGCAGCAGCAGCAGCAGCAGCAGCAGCAGCAGCAGCAGCAGCAGCAACAGCGGTTGAAGCAGGGTGGGTGCAGGCGCGGGAGGTGCAGCAGAGGGTGTGTGGCTGCAGAGCAGAGCCGCACCCACAGCAGCAGCAGCAGCTGCTGCTGCTGCTGTTGCTGCGGCTGCTGCAGCAGCAGCTGCTGCTGCTGTTGCTGCGGCTGCTGCAGCAGCCGCAGCCGCAGCAGCTGCTGCAGCAGCAACTGCCGCTGTCCTCTAGCTTCAAGCAAACCGGGAAAAAAGTTGCAGCAGCAAACCAAGATAAGAACGAACAATAAACACGTGCAGCAAGAGCAGCAAATCCCAGACAGCAGCAGCAGCAACAGCAGCAACAGCAGCAGCAGCAGCAGCAGCAGCTCTTGCCTGTCTAGCCTTTTCAGCCTTTGCTTTTGCTGCAGATTCGAGTGGAGGCCCACAACAGCAATGTTCTGCTTGTGGCGCAGCTGCAGCTGCTCACTCAGCAGCAAGCTGCAGCAGCAGCAGCAGCAGCAGCAGCAGCAGCAGCAGCGGCAGCAGCAGCAGCAGCAGGTTTAAAAACAAGCTTCTGAGGTGCGCTGTGGCATCATTCAGCTACAGAACAGCAAGGGAGGGTTCGGGGCAAAGGCTGCAGACCACGATTTAGGGTTTAGGGTTTAGGGTTTAGGGTTTAGGGTTTACCCGAGCAGGGACTCGAGTCTGTAGACATAAGAAATTGTATTTACAAACAGCAAAACCCGCAGCTGCTGCTTCTGCTTCGCCTTCGAGTCGAAAGTGCGCAGCAAATAGGCAGCAAGATCCA